CCTTTAATGTATATTGGATTTCATTGTATTTTTAGATCTTAGATTATTCTTGGAATAATTTTATAGAAGATTGCTACGACATGTATCCTGTCCGAAATAAAATGAAAATATGGAAATTTTACTCCAAAGGGTCAATCTGTTTCATTTGCAATTCCTTTCCTAAGCAATTTACGTCGTCAAATTTTATTTTTTAACACTGAAGCTGCGAAAAGAAATGTCAAAGATTCGTTTAATCTTTTTTTTATCATCAACTCGTCGCTTAGATTCTATAAATATATTTATAATATTATAAATCAATTATTAGTTGGCCCTTAATGGGCCAATAAATTACAAGGATCTCCCAATTTAATGATAAAATTATTATTCGACTGAAGAAGAATAAATTTATATCATCTAACTATCGTATAACTATTGCTCTCTAATTATCATTGCAACTATATAAAACAAACAATGCGCTCAAATGAATCGAGATTGAATTAATGTCTTAATTTCATAAAATTACAATGCAAAGTGAGTTCGTTCCTTTCGCGACTGCGATATTAAATTAATTTTCGTCAATACAAATTAATTAAAAAAAAAAAAAAAAACTGCGCTGATAGTTCAATCCCTGAATTAATCCCTGGATTAAAAATTACAAGCAAAGAGATTCACAAGAAATCAGTGCAGTTCAAAACGTAAAACTTGTGATCAAAAGAATCACTTGTGATAGTACACAAGCCTGACCGTGCATACAGCAAGAAGCAAGAATTCGAAATTTTTCGTTTATTCCTGAAGCGAATAAGCATAAATAATCAAGAGCCTCCACTTTGTTAACAATGTGACAGAGTTGAAAAATACAATCGTCTTGACCTGCAATTAGGATCGCTGATTTGCAACAACGGATGGAGAAACGATGAACGATAACGTAGAGGAAAGAAGAAAAGAAAAAGGTCACAACGTAATGTGACTTTGTCGAGTTAAATCGCTGCGTCGCGACGTGACGTACGATTATAATTGCGAGACCCATCTCATTAGTACATTCATAGCGTTTCCTTGTTCCCGGCATTGCACAAGAAGCCGGAAGCAGCTACGGTTTCTTTTCACCGAATGATACACGAGCGCAGTCGTTTATCTTGCCTACCGAACGGCTCAATTCGTTTTGCCCAGAAACTGAAATTCACTACGATGCTGTTTGATCCGTATTTCGATTCGCGAATTACTGCAACTGTAGATATTAGTTTGCCAAAGTATTTAAACACTTGCAATAACATATATGTATTATGTGAAACATTTTGAAATTTTAAACCAGACTCGATTATCTCGTGATTATAGATCAAACACATCGAGTTGATGATTC